TAAGCCTGTGAGGAGCAGGGCTTACAAGGAGGTGGTGCTACTGTTGAATAAAATTGACGACATTTTCTGGAATACTGACTGGATGACATTCCTTTGGGCATTTAATGAAAGTTGGGTGATTTGCCCTGTGATAGTAAGTCAGTTTGTTAAACTCTGGTTATACCCTGAAGCATTAAGATAGATGGAAGTTTGTCAATTTGATTGTGATTTATGTTTTGAATGGTTAGAAATATGATGGAGCACGCTGTCACAAGAATATTGGAAGGATTGGGTGGGAAGCATTCAAGTGAGGGAAAAATAAAAGTGAGGATGTGGTGAGTTAGATGCTGGGATAGCTATTAGAGGTGTGTTGAATGGGAGGTGTTTATGCTTCCTGGATCTATATATAGCATGAAAGTTTAAAAACAAGCTCCAAATTGAGGGCAAAACTAGATTCCACCTTCAGATCCAGAGAACAAGATCATTGGTTCACATTGATTGCTGATTTTGTTTTACCCAGCCTGTTGGTGTGAAGCCTTTGCTGTCTTAATGGTGTTCTTTTTGAGTTTCTCAGATGCCCATAATATAAATGTTGATATACGTAGACCACTATGTATTTGCATAATTTCATTTCAACAACTTCTTCTCACAATAATCCAGTCCTTGAGGACTCAAGAATTCAAGCAAACTAGCTTGAATCTCCTTGGCTCTTACCATAAGTTCCAAGTTATCCTTCACATTCTCAAGTGCAACTTCAGATTGAGACTCTAAATGTGACAGTGAACCTTCAATGTTCCTCAAGCCAAATGAGTTGCGAGGTAGTTTATTAATATGAATGTTTTCTCTTGATCTGTAGTATCCCCATGGTTCTAATAATTGAAGCTCATAGGCAAATTGATTATTTGGATCTATAAAATTCACATCAAAAATTACAAGCACCTTTTACTTAACTGTTATGAAAGTATTGTATTTACCATGTAGCTCATTCATGAAACCCTTATAAACATCCAAATTTTCAATAGCAATCAAGATATCTTCAAGCTCTTCAAAACTACCAAAAGAGGTCACAAGATCCCTCTCAAGCACTTGGATTTGATCAATCAACAACCAAGGGGAACTTGAACAAGTCTTGAGGGTCCCAACCATTGATAGATTCACTTGATGATCAAAGATTAATAATTCTACTAACTTATGCTGAAGGACTTGAAGCTTTCTGAAGAAGATATCAACTGCTAGATTCTCAGGAAATATATTCCATCTTCTTGATTTTACTTTTTGAGTTACTTCTGACATGATCATTGGTAAGATCACATTCTTGGGGCCAAAAAAACCAATCAAGCCTACCAGGTATTGATAATCCTCATCCAAATAAGTTTCAAGCACTTAAATTAGTTTGTTCAGGAAAAAAGTGGGTTCAGTGAAGATCATGTATTAAACTTTAAACATATTCAAGGACAATGATAAAAACTTTCAAGAAGAAAAATCGATACATACCCTCTTGATCGTGCAAAAGCTTTTTGAACTTATGCTTGCCCATTTTTGTGCAAATTCTTGCCAGGGGATCTGATGATGATCCTGATTCAGAGGGATCCAGGATCGCTTGCAGGCTGGAAAGAATCTTTTGACTGCGTGCATGCATTGTATTTTTGATGACAGTGGCGTCCTCGGCAAACAGACGAAACTGATTGAAATCTTGCTTCAACCTCTGCTTGATAAATTCTTGATCTTCTTCCTCCTTATAATGGGTGACCCGTATATATTTCCTTATTTTACGCCTGCTTGAGAAAATTCTACTCAAAATGCTGTCAAGCTCTTGATCAAGCTGATCCTTATTCATCATCCGAAGCCTAGAGAAGCTGGGAAGTCGTTTCAAGGGTGAATCAAAGGCTTGACTCGAGCTGGTCAAACTCTGCAAGAAGCTCTGGATCTTTGCAGGAACTGCTTGAATGGGTTTTGTTAGCTGTTGACTCTTTAACTTGTTCTTCAATTGTAATCTGACGCTCCTGCGCGGACTGAGGTCTAGTGGAAGTACAGGGGTAGAAGTACCAGAACTCTGCGCGCTAGTCCAGCTTTCAGAATTCTCATACGTTGTCACCTCCTCATTGCTCTTGAATCGGGGAGAGAAAATCGGATTCCTGCCCTTGATGATTGCGGGCATGGTAGAAGAGCCAGGTTTGGTCTCATCAATTTCGACGATTTCAGATTCAGACAAACCTTGTTCACGATCTTTGACTGGCTCCTCGGCTAGACCGACTGCCGTTCGCAGGCTCTTGTACTTGGTAATTGGTTCCTGACTGGTAGCGAGTGAAGGCGGTAATAAGTGAGTGACACATATCGACAGGATTAAAGTCACAAAGACCAGTGACATTGGATGTAAAATAACAGTCCGTAGATGCGAAAAAGAAAGTTAAATATTTTAATGAAAGCAACTCGTTGAGTATGTATCACTCAGCCCTGATAAGGTTATCCATCTGGTTGAACAACCGGAGATCGTCTGTAGTAAATACTCAATTTGCGGCCCAGCCAGGACAGAGATGACAGTTTCGTGCCGCCGTCATCCACTGTACATTGGGTCTCGCCGGGGTGAGCAAGCTACAGTCAACATTAGCTGAAACTGACGGAGCCGCTCGAAATCCCTCGCAGAGTCAACACACATACCTTCTCTAAACAACGATTGTCGATTTGATCGTCGTATGTATGTGGAACCTCCGGCATGCGTACTGCTGGGAAACAGCTCCGGGACACGGTCTGACCGAGTGCGCTTTTAGTCAGCGTCCTTGGGTGCATTGAGACACCAGTTCCGTAGGAACGTGAGCGACATGAGCTTGGGTTCGGTTAGGGAACCATACTTGGATTATGGATACCAGCTGTTTCATCAAAGACATGCTATTTCTCAGCTCGCAGTTTGTTCGGTGTCCTCTTCCGTTAAGGAACAAGAGCGGAGACTATAACTGTGAAAAACACCTGTAAAAAACGCGCTGATGGTAATTCCTCCTTACAGCTGATACTTATAAATTTCCAAACTAAAACATCAAGTCCAACAACAATGTATTTGATCGATCTATTCTTCTTATGTACCAAGGAATATGACAGGGTCCAGTGCAAAGGGAAGAAAGTTTTTGAATTCAATTGGAAGGGCAGTGATGACGATATAAAGAAGGCCAACCTCTATGTAACTTGAGAAAGCCCCTCTGAATTTCGAAGGGGTGGAAGACTTCCCGCAGGGATCATTAACTTATAGGCAGAGCTCATAGCTGCCTCCGCGTGCATCACCCAACCCACCTCTCATCTGTCGGGTCTCAACTACCATAGGGGGTAGGTGAATGGATCGTACCCTGCACTCACAGACAGTGCGCTTGAGCTTGCTTGATCCCTGCGCTATTCTCCCGTTGGAAGTCAGAGTCGTTGTTCCAACCCTACCTTCCCTCCCTTTCTCTCCCAGCAAATCAAGGAATGTTATTGGGGGTTTCTATTTTTTTCTTAGCTGTGCTGGATTTCGTTCCAACCAGTTAGCTCAAAAATCTCAATGTTTCCAATCTCGTTCTGAACCCTCGTTTGATTGGGCAGCAACGACTCTATATCACTTCATTTTTTTCTTTACCTGCTTATTTCGGAATCAAGCCGAAAGCTTTCCTATCCTTATTTCGAGCGATAGTTTCTAACATCTTCGACATGGTTCAGGCAGGTCACCTTTCTGGAAGAAAATCCTATCTTCCCTGCACCTTGTCATAATTTTTTGGGGTAACGTGTGCATAGATCTGATGTATTGTTTTTTTTTTTTTTCTTTTTTCTTTGGCACGTGCCATGTTGCACCACAACTCATCATCTTGAGATTCACAGTCGAATTCTCCTGATGGTTTTATCAGAGAGCCCGAAGACGGACCAGCCCTCGAGGATCCGCCATCTCAAGGAAACCAACCCAAGTTCATCTTCAGCGCCGATGAAGCCTCTCTCCGCTCCAAAAAGAAGCGCAAAGACATCGAAGGGATTGAAGATGAGGATGATGAGGATGATGCTATCTCTGAACGTAAGAAGAATCCCGGAAGGCGGAAAATTGACATCGAATACATTCAAGACAAGAGCAAGCGTGTGAGTTAGTTTTTTTCTTGGCGTTTCAGAAAGAAAACAAAACATGTCAACCACAGCGTCTCAAGAATCAGCTCCAACTTTGTCACTTTAGCATATCACTTTTTCTAAGCGTAAGGCCGGAATCATGAAGAAAGTGTGTCTCTCCGTTTCAGTCAGACTTGATGAGAGAACAGAGGGCTTATTGCTGATTGCAATGCAGGCTTATGAGCTAGCAACGTTAACGGGTACTCAGCTATTACTACTTGTTGTATCCGAGACTGGGATTGTCTACACGTTTACTACGCCCAACCTCCAACCCATAGTGTCTGACGATCCGGGAAAAAGCCTCATCTCGGTGAGTGTCTTTTTTTCTTCGTTTGGAATCGAACATTATTTGGTCTGCTGCAGGCAGCTTTTTCCCTGATTAATGAAGTTCATATTTCAACAAAAAAAAAGTCCTGCTTGAATGATGGTGAAGCAGAGATTCGTATCGAGCAGGAGGATCCCGAAGAGGAATCACCAACCCATCCAGCGGGTCCGGCTGAAGAGCACGATTTGTTGGTCATGCCCCCAAATCACTCAGCTCCATCTGGCACTACGGGACATCTCCAGCAACCAATCAGCGAGTCTTATCACCCGGATAACCAAGGTGGCGCGTTATCAAGCTCTTTAGCTACAAGTAACACGATCCCTTACTTCCATGAGTCTTCCGAGCAATTGTCGCAGCCGTACAATTCAATCTTTATGAATCCATCCGGAATCCAGAATGTGTATCCCAATCTAGGTCAAGAGATTGGCTTGTCGGCTCCAGATAACCTCGGCACAATACCCAACCTCCAGATCTGTCCTCCCGGTCCTTTAAGCTTACAAGAAAACCAAGCGATGTTTTCGATGGACGGTTTCATGCAAATGGGTGATCCAAGCGAAAGTCGGAAGATCAAGCGACGCAGGACAGAAACCGACCTCCGTCAACGAGCGACGCTCTCGAATCAAAATCCCATCCCGCCCCCTTTGCCTAACCAATTTCCTTTTGACGTCCAGCATAACTGGCTCGAAGCGCCTGATCCAATGAAACTAGGCGCCATCCCGGCAGGTCGATCAACTGTTTTCGATGCCCCACCTTTTAATTCTGTCGTCTCGAGTTTCTTATTGCAAGAATCCGGTCATTTTCACGGGCCCATGGACTTGGAGTCTACCAATCGAAACCTCCAAAGTCAGATGGAGCACCACGTCGTCCTATTCCTCGATGCCTGTGATCATTACCCTTTGGGAGATACAACACTCAATTCAAGAAAGTGGCGCCAGGATCTTTTCCCTCGAAAGCAACTACTCGCAGGGTGTTTGAAGTTTTTCTTCGAGGAATATTTGCGTGAGTCTTTCAAATCAAATCGTTCTTTCCTCCGTCTCGTACGGTATTCTGACTGATTCAACCTCCATAGCCCTTCTAAAACACTTGCCATTTGAGGGCTTGGCGTCTTGTTGCGAGGATCTACAAAAGCTAGCCCAATTTGTGTCTATCTTCTACGAGGATCCGGAGCAGGCGACTGCTGAGCTATGCGAAATCATCAAAAGCTCTTCGGGCGCATACATGCAGAGTGTTCACCTAAGTGCCCACAGTTCAACTTCTACACAAGGCGCACCAGTCACTTCTCCTCTTCCAAGCGCCTTCAATACCAGACTGAAGTGTGCACCGAAACTCAAACCGAGGAAAGGTGTTAACATCACCCTCAGGGGTGGCCGTCTTCAGACTGTCTTGGAGGAATACACCGATTGGTGTCGGAAAAATAAATCGAGCTGGTCGGGAAATAAACCGAACAGTCACGTAAAAGGATGGTTCAAAATCGAACGAGTTCGCCGCACGTTTTGCTGTTGTGCCATCGTCGGAGAAAGTTGGTCACAGAATTCTTTATCTCTGCATAATAAAGCCTGGTTCCTAGGGGATCAAGATTTACTGACAGTTTCACGCATGCTGAATCGATACGATAAATCATCAACTGATAGATCATCTCGAAGGAATCCCAGCGGTGTTGAAGATACGCTTCCCGGCCTCGGCCATCAAGCTAATTCGAAAAGAAGATAAGCTGGAGCTCGAGGTCCAAAATTCAGATGACGGGAGTGAGTGGAACATTTTCAACCATTTCAACTTTGAGCTATGCCCAGGAGACGAGCAAGAGGAAGAGGAGACGAGCGTACTGTCGTGTGAAGGAGCGGTGGATTCTTTGCTGCTCCAAAAGATCTGCGAGGAAAAGAAATTGAGTCCTCCAGATGCGCAACGATGGATCGAAAACCAACGCTTGATGAAGTTGTACGTAGAAGTTGGCGATTTTGATGATGATGGATTCGAAAGTAAAGTGCCGCCAAAAGGCGGAAAACAAGCCTTCAGGTAAGTTAACCTCTCCAACGGATTTCTTAATTGTGCCGAATCTCTCAAAATCTTGATCGTCCATTCTTCACTTTTCTATTATTAGGGTCAAAAAGCCATCAATTGCTGGACCCAAGCCCAGCGATTCCTCTCAATTTGAACTGGAAGACCTAGCCAACATGAAAGCTTTGAACTCTCCTCATTGAATTACTACTAGTGACCAGTCGAAGAGATTTCGAAGCTATTTACGCAGATTTTTCGCATACCGAATGAGATGATTCGTTCACATCTATCCAAGCCTCCATGTTTTCGACCTATTTTGATTGCTTATAATTAATTCAACCTTATTATACGTTTTCATCCATTAATTTCAACTCATATCATCTCATTAAAGAATAGAGGACAAAATACATATTCTACAAATTCAAAACATAAACACAAGTGAAGCATTCCTGGAAATCACACACAACAACTGTTCATCGATTCTTGTCGAAATCCAGCTCATCTTTTCATATTCTGATCACTCTCAATTGCTTTAAATTCTTCATCCAATGGACATCTTACATATAGCCCTAATACATATTGTGTTTGCAAGAAAGCTTGGATCATTTTGCTTTTTGGATTTTTTGTAATCCTTGCAACTTATGGATTTACCTTTCTGCTCGATTAATTTCAAATATGTTTCTGCCTCAGGTGTCCCAGGGCTTTCACCTTCTTTCTCAGCTCATTCGACGGTCCAGTGCTTGGTGGGCATCACCGATGGGGCAGAAGGGAGTGACCGGCGGTCCAGGTAAGCGGCTTGTAGGCCCTACAAACTGCTCTGGTTCCGAATATGAACCTCGTTTTTTCTTAATTCTCCTCCAAGAGCATGTACTGGAGCAACATGGCTCCGGAGGTGGTTTTATCCCTGGGTCTTATCTGACATCTGTCAAGATAAAACCCGACTGAGAAAATGAAAATATGGGATTAGAAATATCAAATTTAAAGGGTTACAAAAAATTCAAAAAGCGAATCGATCCAAGCTTTCTTGGATACACAATACATAAATTCACATAGACAAGAAATCCACACATTTGTAACAAAAAAAAACCTTGGGTTTAGTCAGTTTGATCAGGGCTTGCACAGCAGTCCCATCAAATGAGAGGAAATAATTAGTAAGAATACATACATAAAAGGAATAATTGGCAGATGATATATTTACTTGCGGAAGTCTTTTGGCTTACTTCAGTCTTTACCAACCGGACATTCCCAGGGATGAAAGTGGTAAGAATATCTTGGTTGGAAATCAAGAAAAGCTCTCAAACAACTACATCGTCCAACGTGGAGGATGCTTTAATGAGGAACTCGGGCGAGGAAAGTCCGAAATCATACAACTATCAGAGCAACCTGTTCGCTTCTCAATCTTAACCCTCCCAAACACCAACTGTCATGAGTTGAGAAGACCTTCGAGACTTTAACCCGTCCCAAAAGTATTCCTTTTTTTCCTGCGATCGAAAGACGCTAGCCACAGGTTCTGCCTGATGGATATCCCAGCCATCGATTCCATATTATAGTCACGTTCTCGGAAATGAACTTACAGCAGCTGAGGGCCCCTCTAGGTGCGAAGTGCCTCCCTCCGAAGCGCCCCAGGAAGGACTTAAAGTTGTCCGTCATGGCCGAACGGCGGGGCTGAACAGGAGTCACTTCAGTCACACCGGCGATCAACACAGCAACCCGGCACGATTTACAATCATCCGCAACAATTGCCCGGACTTTGAGAAGTCGTGAGCATCAGCTTTGAGGTCGGCCATAACCATATGAACTGCAGTCTGCACATGCTGTTGTACGTTCGACCAGTGGTTTCTTTTTTTTTTCTCTCTTGATGTTGTAATTCTAGTGGGCTGGTGTGCGTCAGTCTTGGGCTCGCCGCTGCGATGTTCGCACCTGCAAGCAGCTTGGCGAAACAAATACAAAAGGAGTGCTTATTACAAAGTGTGTCTTGCTCATCCTCTTGTCGGATGTACTCACCCCACTGGCGCTCAGGAAAACGTAAATATGTCCTCCAGCTGGAATACACCAAGGCCTTCTGGCCCTGAGCAAGTTCGCGTGGACACGAACGTCAGTCTGAGCATTTAAGCGGTATGGTGGGTTCTGGACTTCGCCTGGCATCCTGGATCATTCAAACCGTACGCTCTTTGTTTCAAAAGTGTACACATCAAATTCTCAACTCACCATCGAACGCGTCTTCCCGCCGCGAACATCGAGGGACCGAAAGTGATACGCATGTAAAGTTTGAACAAGACAAGAGGCCTGCAAGGTGGATCGTCGCTTCCTCCATGGAAGCATATCTATTCCTCAATTTATTGCTTTACAAAGACTGTATAGTCTCGTGCAGTCTCAAAGGGCCGCCCAGCCCATGGCCTAGTACATAATAGGTGGAGGAGCTGGAGCCGACATGTTCAGGAGTGATCTTGATGATTGCGTTACGACTCGGATGAAGATCCGACATGATTTGCGACGGCCAGTTTGCCACAGTTCCCAACCAAGATCTGTTCCGGCAGCCCAAATTTCAAAAGCATGATGTACTCCAGAGAAGATTCGGACATCACAGATTGGCTGCCGATATCACCACTCGTGGGCGAT